GCCTTTCAGTTACGGGAATAGCAGCAAAGCCCTGAGCAGCCAGGGGGTGCCTTCGGCGTCCTTTGCCCCTGCTGCCCCTTCGTTCACAGCGTGAAGAGGGGCGTCTGGGTGTGCAGCCGCTCCCCCACTCCACTTGAAAGTGTGGGTGGAAATTAAGGGAGGCGAGAGTAGGCGGGAGCCCCTAGGCGGGGTTCGCCCACAGACGCTACCGCTGTGGGAGTGTGTGTGGGCGGATTGGCCCCAGAGCAGAACAATCGAGCTCCCCTCCCCTCCCCCACCGTCTGAGCTGAAGGGACAGAGGGGAGTGAGTGGGGAAGGTCACTGCTTGGAGAGGGGCCAGCGGGGCGCGAGGGGAGGTTACTGGGCAGCATGGGAGGGCGGAGGGGGCGGGGTGGAGAGCTAAGGTGCATCAGGAGTGCCTGATCCCTGGGCTAGCTGAGGGGCACAGGAGCAGGGGTCAGCCTGGCTCCTAGTGGGAAGACCAGGGAAGGGGACACACCCCTCCCTCCCAGCCACCCTGGTAGAATGCCCCCAAGGGAGTGCAGGTGGCTCGCAGTGGTCCCCAGTGTCCACTGTGGGAAGGATGAGTGGGACATTCCCCTTAGTGTGTGATGTCACTTGTGTTGAGGTGTTTAGGGTGGAAGGTGAGGGCCAAGTGTTTTGGGGGAGAGAGGGAGGGCCAGCCATCCCAGGGGTGTGCCTAAGGTCTTCTTACCCCTGCCAGAAAGGGCAAAGCTGAGGATGGGGTGGGGGTGGGGGCGGTGAGCCTTTGACTCCCGCCAACAAGGCCCTGGCTTTGGGTGCTTCTGGCTAGTGTGGGATGTAGTGGCATGTCAATGCCTCCGAGTAGTGCCCAAGTCTCAGAGTCTGTGCTCAGTGCTGGGCGCTGCTGGGCAGAGGGAGAGAAGAAACCGACGGAGAGAGAGAACAATTGTTAGTGTGGGTTGGTACCCAGCCGGGGGCCTTGCACTCACTGTTTCTCTCACGCCCCTCCTTCTCAGGCCCAGTGCCCGAGCCATGGCACTGCCTCGGACGCTGGGGGAGCTGCAGCTGTACCGGGTCCTGCAGCGGGCCAATCTCCTCTCCTACTATGAGACGTTCATCCAGCAGGGAGGGGACGACGTGCAGCAGCTGTGTGAGGCCGGCGAGGAGGAGTTCCTGGAGATCATGGCACTTGTGGGCATGGCCACCAAGCCCCTCCACGTGCGGCGCCTGCAGAAGGCACTGAGAGAGTGGGCCACCAATCCAGGGCTCTTCAGCCAGCCGGTGCCTGCCGTGCCTGTCTCCAGCATCCCGCTCTTCAAGATCTCCGAGACTGCGGGTACCCGGAAGGGCAGCATGAGCAATGGACACAGCAGCCCAGGAGAGAAGGCGGGCGGTGCCCGCAGTTTCAGCCCCAAGAGCCCCCTTGAACTTGGAGAGAAGCTGTCGCCACTGCCGGGGGGTCCTGGAACGGGGGACCCCCGGATCTGGCCGGGCCGGAGCACTCCAGAATCAGACGTTGGGGCGGGAGGGGAAGAAGAGGCTGGCTCACCTCCCTTCTCCCCACCTGCAGGGGGAGGAGTCCCTGAGGGGACTGGGGCCGTGGGTCTGGCAACGGGTGGGACTGGGGGGAGTCCAGACCGCCTAGAGCCAGAGATGGTGCGCATGGTGGTGGAGAGCGTGGAGAGGATCTTCCGGAGCTTCCCCAGGGGGGACGCCGGGGAGGTCACGTCGCTGCTGAAGCTGAATAAGAAGCTGGCACGGAGCGTGGGGCACATCTTCGAGATGGACGATAACGACAGCCAGAAAGAAGAGGAGATCCGCAAGTACAGCATCATCTACGGCCGCTTCGACTCCAAGCGGCGGGAGGGCAAGCAGCTCAGCCTGCACGAGGTGAGCCCCCTGGGCCCCGGGGGCGGGGGCTCGCCCTCAACTCAGGCCCCCTGCCGCGGGGCTTCCATCCTCAGAGCTGGCAGAGGTGCAGGGGAGGAGGCCCCAGGTGGTTCTGTGTTGGTCCTCCAGAGAAAGCTGCCTGGTGGTGTCAGAGCCCGAGCAACCATCCTGCGGATGGGCCTCGCTTGTCCCGGGGCGCAGGGCTCTGAGCAGGTCTGGGTAAGGCAGCGGGGGAGGAGCCGGGACTCTGACTTGCCCCCTCTCCACAGCTGACCATCAACGAGGCTGCTGCCCAGTTCTGCATGCGCGACAACACGCTCTTGCTACGGAGAGTGGAGCTCTTCTCCCTGTCCCGTCAAGTGGCCCGCGAGAGCACCTACCTGTCCTCCTTGAAGGGCTCCAGGTGAGACCCCTTTCCCCTTCCAGCCTGGAGTGCTGCCCAGGAGTTGAGTCATGGGCTAAGCTCCAGCTCAGGCAGCTCTAGGCCTGCTTCCCAGCCACCTGCATGCCCTGCCTTTGGCCAGGTCAGCTCATCTGAGGGCTTATTTCCCCATCCCTTTCATCTCGGTCTCCCCCCTCCCCCATAGCAGCTGTGCTTAGCCAGGAGACTCCTCCCTCCCCAGCCAGCTTCTTTGCAGAAATTCTCAGCCATGCATGTCTCTGGCCACATCACGTGACTCTGCCCAGCCTCACCTGGCTTACTCTCCATCTTTGCAGACTGCACCCTGAAGAACTGGGAGGCCCCCCACTGAAGAAACTGAAACAGGAGGTGTGTTTTCTAGGGTTCCTGAAGGGGGCTGCCCCACCCCCTTCCTTGCCAGGCCCTCATTCTCCATCCCTTCCGCAATCTGGGGTGTCCACAGGTTGGAGAGCAGAGTCACTCTGAAATCCAGCAGCCTCCCCCAGGCCCTGAGCCCTATGCACCCCCGTACCGCCCCAGCCTGGAGGAAGACAGCGCCAGCCTGTCCGGGGAGAGTCTCGATGGACACTTGCAGGGTGAGCGTGCTCCAGGACACTCCTGTCCCCACCGGGGGGGGGGGGTGTCAGAGGGTGGGAGTAGGGAGGGACGATGAGCTGGGAGGCAGCTACCTGCAACAGGGTTCAGGTGCTGGGCTCAGTGGGGACCAGAGGGCCTCTGGGTCTGACTTTGCGGTTGAGGGTGGGGGTTCCGTTGGCTGCAGCCCCTTACCTGACCAGTGCCCATGCCCACAGCTGTGGGGCCGTGCCCAAGGCTGACGCCGCCCCCTGCTGACCTGCCTCTGGCATTGCCAGCCCACGGGCTGTGGAGCCGCCACATCCTGCAGCAGACACTGATGGATGAGGGGCTGCGGCTCGCCCGCCTCGTCTCCCACGACCGCGTGGGCCGCCTCAGCCCCTGTGTGCCTGCAAAGCCACCTCTCGCAGGTGAGGCAGCCAGCAGTGCTGTCCCGAGCACCCCGGCCACTCGGGCCCTACACAGCAATCCAGGTGGCCTGGGGCCAGGTGGGAGGACCAGGGAGACCCTCACCCGAGGGGACAGGAGGGTGGGGAGGCAGCAGGAGGGTCTGGCTCCAGCCAGCCAGGCTGAGACTTGAGGAGAGCCAGAGCCTGCCGGGCTGGTCCTCGCGGGGCGGATCAGGGCTGTGGTCCTCGCGGGGCGGATCAGGGCTGTCGTGGCTCTGTGACCCAGGCGCAGGGCTACAGAGAAGGGGCAATGGAGAGGCACCTAGGGAAAGCTTCACTGGGACTTCCCTCTGTGCAGGAGGGTGGAGCAGGCTGGGAGTTGCGGGGACCAGGTTGCCCCGCTTGGCGGCAGGGGAGCCCCAAGGGGGCTGCTTTGTGTGTGGATAGGGGAAGAGGGAGTGGGCCAGCAGAGGGCTGGGCAGCGCTGGGCTGAGAGTGACGCAGCAGACAAAGCCACCAACCCTGGCTTGGTATTTTTAAACTGTGTGTGGGTGGGAAGTGGGGGTGGGGACTGGAAGGGGGGCTCTGCTTGAGGGAGGAGCTGGGAGGCTGGCTTCCTGTGTTCCCCCCTGATTTGGCTACCAAAATCTTGGGGGGCCATGACAGGGTGGGTGGGGGCCTGGGAGGGGGTGGCTGAGCCTGGGAAGGGGGGAGGGGAAGAGGTCAGAGCCAAGCCGCCCCCGCAGCTCCCTACAGAACCAGAAATTCCAGCAGAACAGAGGCGGGAGAGGCAGAGAGCAAGCGAGTGAGCTGCACGGGGCCGTGCAGGGGAGGGGGCTCCACACACACTTGGGGTGTGCACCCCCTCCTGCAGGCAGGAGGCAGAAGCTCAATGACCCGAGCTTGTCCTCCCAGCCCTTTCTGCCCCTGCGTTGTCAGCAGTCTCGCCCCCGCCCCGGGCTTCTAACCTCCCCTTCTCCCCTGCAGAATTCGAGGAAGGGCTGCTGGACAGATGCCCTGCCCCGGGGCCCCACCCCGCTCTGGTGGAGGGTCGCAGAAGCAGCGTGAAGGTGGAGGCCGAGGCCAGCCGGCAGTGAGGGGCAGACCGGTGGCCCTGGACCCGGGACCCCAGACTTTCGGCTCCCACAGACCCCGGGATCTCCCTCCCTGGAGTCCAGTCATAGCTTCTCCAGCCTCCCCACCTGCTCCATGGGCGTAAAACTGTGGGGCTTCAAGCAATAACGAGCAGGGGCCTGGTGTGGGGACCCGAGCAGGGTGCGTGGTGCCCCCAGCCCCTACCCAGAGCAAGGGGACCAGGCCTCCCGCCTCCTCCCACAGCTCACTCCCATTCTTCCCATGCTGGCGGCGGTGCTGTGAGCAGTTGGATTGAGTCTGGACATGGGGGAGGGGGACTTCGCCGGGAGGTCCAGCAGCTAAAAATGGCAACAATTTCCCCCCAGAACCGGGGGCCTGGGCACACTGGACCTGCTCCTCCTCCCTGCCCCTTCCCCATCTTTGTGCTTCTAGTTTGTCTCTTTACTTTAACAAGTGCTGCAGTCTGCCTCCCATCCACACCTCTTCCCCGCCCCAAGTCCTCAGCAGTGCGCTCCCCCCTGCCCTCTGGCAGGGGTGGGTGGTGGATGTGGGATCCCCTCGGAGGCCTGGGTCCACTCAGGGTCTCCTCCAGCTGGGGGCTCGATCCCAGCACCTGTCTGAGCAGTTAGAGCGTCTTTCTTTTCAGATTGTGTACAGTAGATTATTTATTTTGTTATTTTGGAATAAAATTTATTTTATGGCTTAGGATCTATGACTCCCCTTCCCCACCCCAAGAGAGAGAAGGGATGGGACAGGCCAGGCTGGGACAGTGAAGAGAAGCTGGTGGTGTAGGGGGCAGGACAGACAAGAAGCGATGGAGGGCCAAGCCTGGACCAAAGACTCACACTCCCTGGCCCCTGAGGGCAGCATCAGAGGTCCTAAAGCTACAGCCACATGTAGCTGGCATAGCCACATGGACCCAGCTGGGCACAGTCATACTGGAACCACAGCACGTTGCGTTAGTATACGTTAGCCGGCACAACAGCTGGGGTCCTGTGCAGTGTCTTGTACTCCCAAATTTGTGTCGTCAACATGGGCAAAAGCAAGATAGGCACAGATTGTATGTGGTCACATAACTGACGTGTAGTATCTGCATTAACATGTCTTGGGTACACACACTTGGGCAGCTGCACACAAAGGAACTTGGCCTTGGGCTCCTGCATACTGTTAGACCAAAAGCCTCCATCAGAGGCTGCTGGGGTTTGTTTCTTAATCTGGGCAAAACCTTGTCAACACCCACGTGTCCAGAGCCCTCCTGTCCTTCCACCCAGTGTCCCCCCTGAACAGCTTCCCCATTCCCCCAGGGCTAGGACCCAGGCCCAGGCCCACTATCTCAACCTCCAGTGCCAGTGCGTGTGCACGTCTCTGGAAGTGTGTCGTGGACCCTGGCTTGGGATGGGCAGAGGAGCCCTCCACACCCCAACCCATGCCCCAGGCCAGCCTCGCCTGCTCAGCCCCACCTTCCAGAGAGCTGTGTGTGCATGTGTGTGCTGCAGGTGCAGGCATGTTGGGGCATGTCTTGCTTTGAAGCCAGAACTTCCCTTCCACTGTTGGAAGGGGATGGATGGGGGTGTGCAGTAGGAAGGAAGGAGTGGAGCAGCTCCACCCACCATGCATTCTCCCAGCAGAGTCTTCCTTCTGACCAAAGGGTGGGTGGGGCTGGGAGGGTGCCTCCCCGTCTGCTGCTTGGCAGGAGCAGGAGCCGTGTCCAGGGCAGGTCCACAGGGCGGTGGCAAAGCCGTCTCCCTGGGCTCATCCAGCTGGGCTCACCAGCTGGGGTTGGCTCTTAGGTCCAGGTGGGACATGGAGATCCCAGTCTGCCCATAGTGGGAAGGCTGGAGGAGGGGCTGGGGTCCCAGGGACCCTCCCCCTGCCTCTCCTTGCCCCTCCAGGAGAAGCTTGGTGAGGTCCTGTTCCGTGGGAGGCATCAGGGGTGGGAACATGTCTTCACTGGGCCTGCAAGGAGAAGGGGGAGAAGCGGTGGGGTGGGCAGGGCATGCGCTCCCCTGGCCCTTCTCAGCCACCCCCCCACCCAGGCCGCCACTCACCAGGTGTTCTGGGGGAACCCTGCCACCTGCTGGCCCAGGCAGCTGTCTTCTGCCATAGTCACATCTGAGCACAGCGGAGGCTTGGGGCTGGACACGGCATGCTCCTGAGGCTGGCACTGCAGCAGGCTGGGGGCCGGAGAGGGGAATCAGGAGGAGGGGGCAGAGAGGGCTGAAGAACGGGGAGCGTGGGGTCAGCAGGGGCTCTGCCACTCACGAGGGGTGAGGCTGGACGAAGGGCAGGTTCATTTGGCTCAGGCTAGGGGATATCTGCAGGCGAGTCCTGGAAGCAGAAGGTCACAGTCAGAGGCGGAAACAGCTCCAGCTCTCCCCGTCTTAGCCGCGCTGACCACGTGGCCCCGCACAAGTCGTCTCCACACTGAGCTCGGTCTTTTCAGCTATGACATGGGTGTGTGCCGGAGGTTGCATTAGCCGATGTCCAGCATTTCTTTGGATTGTGAACTCCGGTGGTTCCAAGCCTGCTGCTCCCCATCTCGGCTTCAACTCTCCGAAGGGGAAATGGTGTGACTGGACTGAGGGTTAATAAATGGTTCACTGGGGAGGAGAGATGTCTAGCCCCCTTCAAGGGCAAGATAGACGGATAAATGAAAACCTGGGGTGGGCATTTGGCCGTTAAGTCGCTGCTTGGGACGTCGACATCCCCTATCAGAATGCCTGTGTGCCTGGAGTCCCCAGTCTGCTTCCAATGCTGCTTCCTGTGAATGTGCACCCTGGGAGGCAGCAGGGACGGCTCAAGTGGGTCCCTGCCACCTACACCGGAGACCCAGATTGAGCTGCAAGCTCCTGGCTTCAGCCTGGCTCAGCCTTGGCTATTTGGGAAGTGAATCAGCAGATAGATCTCTGTCTTTCAAATAAAACAAATACACACACACACACACACACACACACACATATTAATGCTAAGAATCAACAGAGGGGCTGGCGCTGTGGCACAGTGGGTTAATGTCCTGGCCTGCAGTGCCGGCATCCCATATGGGCGCTGGTTCGAGACCTGGCTGCTCCGCTTCCGATCCAGCTCTCTGCTGTGGCCTGGGAAGGCAGTGGAGGATGGCCCAAGTCTCCTTGTGTAGGAGACCTGGAGGAAGCTCCTGGCTCCTGGCTTTGGATTGGCGCAGCTTGGGCCATTGCAGCCAATTGGGGAGTGAACCATCAGATGGAAGACCATTCCCTCTATCTCCCTCTCTCTCTCTCTCTCTCTCTCTCTCTGCCTCTCCTCTCTCTGTGTAACTCTGACTTTTAAATAAATAAATCTTTAAAGAGGCCGGCGCCGCGGCTCACTTAGGCTAATCCTCCGCCTTGCGGCACCGGCACACCAGGTTCTAGTCCCGGTCGGGGCGCCGGATTCTGTCCCGGTTGCCCCTCTTCCAGGCCAGCTCTCTGCTGTGGCCCGGGAGTGCAGTGGAGGATGGCCCAAGTCCTTGGGCCCTGCACCCCATGGGAGACCAGGAGAAGCACCTGGCTCCTGCCTTCGGATCAGCGCGGTGCACCTGCCGTAGCGTGCTGGCCGCGGCGGCCATTGGAGGGTGAACCAACGGCAAAGGAAGACCTTTCTCTCTGTCTCTCTCTCTCTCTTGCTCACTGTCCACTCTGCCTGTCCAAAAAAAAAAAAAAAAAAAAAAAAAAGAATCAACACAGCAGGGACTGTGCTGTGGGACAGCAGGTAAAGCTGTTGCCTGAGATACTGGCATCCCATATGATTGCTGGTTCGAGTCCCGGCTGCTCTACTTCCAATCCAGCTCTCTGCTGTGGCCTGGGAAAGCAGAGGAAGATGGTCTGAGTGCTTGGGCCCCTGCACCAAGTGGGCAACCCAGAGGATGCTTTTAGCTTCACCCTGGCCCAGCTCCAGCTTTTGTGGCCATCTGGGGAGTGAACCAGCAGTGTCTCTCTCTCTCTCTCTCTCTCTCTTCTGTCTCTCTCTGTAACTCTTCCAAATAAATAATTAGAAAAAAGGAATCAACACAGCAAATGAAAACAGTGGATTTCAGTTCAGTGGCAAGAAAGAAAATATTTACCTAGCCTTTGTTTCCAGTGAAGGACGCAGCTCAGCTTTATGCATTTGATGAACGCACATCTAACCTTCACAACAATCCCATGCGGCAGGGATTATGACTGTCACCATTATTATTCCTCATATTACAGATGAGACACCAGAAATGAGGTACCTTGGCCAAAGGCAGGAAGCAGCAGAGGCAAAATTCGAACCAAGGTACTCTGGACCTAACTACCTCCAGGGATCTGCGTTGAGGCACAGTGGGTTACATCACCACCTGAGGCCAGCATACCATATGAGCTCTGCTTCCAATCCAGCACCCTGCTAATACTCTTGGGAGGGCAGTGGGGGTTGGCCCATGTACTTGGGCCCCTGCCACCCACGTGAGACAGGATGGAGTTCCAGGCTCCTGTCTTCAGCTTGGCCCATCCCAGGCCATTGCAACCATTTGAGGAGTGAGCCAGTGGTTGGAAGATATCTCTGTAAGTCTGCTTATCAAAATAAGTAAACCTTCAAAACAAAACAAAAAACCCTACAACATGTAGCCTGTGCAGTGAGCACACGTTGCCTCAGCCTCTCCTGGTGATGCCAATGCCACACCCTACGCAGTGACACAGCATCCCCACCCCTGCCCCACACCCAGAGGCTCCGACTTACTCCGGGAAGGCTGACAACACCCCGACTGAGTCCTCTGTGGGAAGGCCTTGGTAGGGAATAGAGTGTGCAGGCGGCGGGTAGACTTGGGACCTGGGGAAAGAACACAGAACCCCTGATGCCAGCCCTTCTCCCAGACTCCCCCACACCCTGCCTTGGGAAGAGGAATCCCTTTCAGGGAAAGGCAAGTTCCGGACTCTTCCCACCCCTGTAAGCCCTGTCTGTCCCTGGTGCTCCTTACACATCTGGGCCCAGCTGCATGGCAGACTCCAGGGGCATCCCAAGGTCATAAGAGGGCATCATGGCAGGCATCTGGGGCTCCGGGGTGGGAAGAGGCTGGTCCCTGGAGGAGACGGGGAGGCGGGGTGAGGTGACTGGCCGAGGACTGATGCCACGCTCCTTCCTGCAGTCAAGTCCAGCCCCCAGCTCTCAGACACGCTGCCACACTCACCTTTCCACGGTCATCTTGATGGTAGCTGGGACGTAACCCCTGCCGTCCTTTCCCATCTGTTCAGCTGTTGTGGTAAGGAATGGGGAGCCATGGAGTGCTCCAGGGTGAGGGAGTTGGGGAAGGAGGGTGTGGCAGGCAGAAGCGGGGCTATGAAAATAGGGTGCCAAGTCAGGAATGGCACAGAGCAGGCAGGGAGAGGGGGCGGCCAGGAGCAGGGAGGGGGCGGGCGCCACGAAGCCATCAGAGCCACTAGCTCCAGCTCACGCTTGTAGTGGCTCCGGAAAGCCTCATCCTTGGGCTTCTTGGGGTAGAGGTTTTTGAGCTGAGCGAGGTCCCGGATCCGGTCCCCCAGGGAGCGAATGGAGAGGTCTTTGGCTGAGAATGGCTGAATGTTCTCTATCTGTGGGGAGCCTATGGTAGGAAGGAGACCCTGGGTCCCCTCGGTCCAGGCCTCGGTCCCATCCCCCACCCCCTCTGTGGGCCCCCCTCTCAATCCACCAGGGCAGAGGTAGAGGGGCCTTTCATTCCCGTGGTCTCACAGTGAGACCGGGAGGTTCAGCCGATGGAGGGAGGAGAGGCGCTGGACTTAGGAAAACTTCCCCAAGACCAGCGTTGGTATCAGGGAAGACCAGACAGTGCCTCCCCCCACCCCACCCAGCAACCCAGGAGGACACAGGCACGGAGGCAGAGGGCCGGCTGGGGTGACCTCACCATCCTGGCCCCGGATGACGTGGGCGATGGTGATGCCCCCAATCTCTGAGTCGCTGAAGCGGAGGAGGAAGGTTCCGTCAGGCTCACCGAGGAGAAGGCTCGTGACATACTGCTTGCTGATGAAGCCAACGATCAGCCTGGCCGGGAGGAGGGAAGGGACGGGCTGCAGGCACTGGGGACGCAGAGGGAGCAGCAGGTTCAGCTGCTCAGGCTCCCCCCAAGCCCCGGGGGCGGGGGTGCTGGGGACTCACCGGTCGGACCAGTAGCTCCTGAGGCAGCGTTTGGTGAGGTCCAGGACGCCATCGAACCACTGCCAGAAGGTGAAGCCTCGGCCCAGCAGGATCTCCTGTGAGATGCCCGGGAAGCTGGCGTGAGCAGGGGAGGCCAGAGCTGGAGGCTGACGGGGCGGGCACTGGGCTGCGAGGGCTGAGCCACCAAGCTGGGCCCGAGACCAGCCACTCCCCCGGGGCCTTTCCTCATGCTAACCTTTGGGACCTCTACAAGGTCGTGGTGGGAGGTACCATAACCATTCCATCTTACACAGGCAGAAACGGAAGCCCAAAAGGGTCAAAGGACTTGCCCAGGTCTGCACAGCCAGTGAGAGGCAGCAGCTCCAAGCCCAGGTGGTCTGGCGCTGAAACCCCCCCACAACCACTGTGCTACCCCCCTCTCTAGTGAGGCCTGGCAGGAAGGTGACTTGCTGAGTGGCATTGTCCTGCTTCCTTTGCCAGCACATCCTCTGGTCACATGAGCTTTGCTTTCTTCCTCTTTTTTTTTTTTTTCATTAAATTTTTTTTGACAGGCAGAGTTGACAGTGAGAGAGAGAGACAGAGAGAAAGGTCTTCCTTTACCGTTGGTTCACCCTCCAATGGCCGCCGCAGCCAGCGTGCTGCGGCTGGCACACCGCGCTGATCCGATGGCAGGAGCCAGGTACTTATCCTGGTCTCTCATGGGGTGCAGGGCCCAAGGACTTGGGCCATCCTCCACTGCACTCTCTGGCCACAGCAGAGAGCTGGCCTGGAAGAGGGGCAACTGGAACAGAATCCGGTGCCCCGACTGGGACTAGAACCTGGTGTGCTGGCGCCGCAAGGCGGAGGATTAGCCTAGTGAGCCGCGGCGCCAGCCTCTTCCTCTTTTTTTAAAGGGCCATCCATGGCAGTGTTCGCCCAGCTGGTGGTGAACCAAGACACCAGATCTCTTTTTCCCCTATTCTTGCAAATGAGCCACATCATTCTGAAGGCAATAAAATACAGTAGTTAAGAGCAGGAATAGGGGCCGGTGCCATGGCTCACTTGGTTAATCCTCTGCCTGCGGCACCGGCATCTCATATGGGCACCGGGTTATAGTCCCGTTTGCTCCTTTTCCAGTCCAGCTCTTTGCTGTGGCCTGGGAAGGCAGTGGAGGATGGCCCAAGTTCTTGGGTGCCTGTACCCACATTGGAGACCAGGAAGAAGCACCTGGCTCCTGGCTTTGGATCAGCGCAGCACTGGCAATAGTGGCCATTTGGGGGACAAACCAATGGAAAGGAAAACCTTTCTCTCTGTCTCTCTCTCTCTCTCTCAAAAATAATGAAAAAAAAATTTTTTTTAAAAAGAGCAGGAATAAGGGGCCGCTGCTGTGGCACAGTGGCTTAATATGGTGAATGTGCCGCTCGCAGCACTGGCATCCCACACAGCAGTGCTGGTTTGAGTTCCAGCTGCTCCTCTTGCTGTCCACCCACCCACGTGGGAGACCTAGTTGGAGTTCCTGGCTTCGGGCTTTGGCCTGTCCCAGCCCCGGCCTGTTAGGGCCATTTGGGGAGTGAACTAGTGGATGGAAGATCCCTCTTTCTCCGCATTCCACCCCGTGATTCTCCCTTTCAGATAACAAATCAGTGAATCTTTAAAGGAGAACAGGAGTCAGGAATACGGGGCTCCATCCTCATCATGCTACTCACTTGCTGTGAGACCTTGAATAAGCCACCTACCCGCTCTGAACTTCAGGGTCCTTTCCTATGAGATGGGGGTAAGAGCCGTACCTGTCCCAAAGGGGTGCTAGAAGGATCAAGTGAGCCAACACACACAGGGCACCAAGCAGAGTGCCTGCCTGGTGTGTGGGAACTGATCAGCACGTGACCCTGTGGGGTTTCATCTGGTGTTGGCAGTAGGAACTGTATTCTCAATGGGTCCAAGTCATTTTGAATCACAGACGTGCCCATGCACCATCTAGGAGAATCAGGCAAGTCCCCAGAGAGGGGACAGAGGGCTCCCAGGCCAAGCCTGGGGGTGTCAGAGGAGGCCTCCTGCTGGCTGGCTTCCAGGGCATGGGGAGGGTCCCCGGGGAGGGGGCTCGGCAGCCCTGAGTGGTGCAGCGGTGAGGAGCTCTGAGGGGGAGGTCGGAAGGGCAAGGGAAGGACCTTGTTGAACTGTGACCAGGACACAGAGCGGTGCTGGAAAGCCTCCACGTTGAGGCTGTTGTCATTGAAGATCTTCTGGGCCAGGAAGAGGAAGTGCTCTGGGAGCAGCCCCCGGTTGGTCCCCACCTCGGCCATGAACTTGAGGTTCAGAGTTTCACACATCTTCTCCCAGGGCACACGCTCAGCCACCACAAAAGGCACACGGTCCTGGGAGGAAGAGGGAAGGAGCGAGCACTCCAGGCCATCATCCCGTGTTCATAGGCAGAGCCTGCCCCTCCGCACACGCACACAGCGGCTTCTCAACAGAGGGCTCACAGTGCGCCAGCACAACTGTGCTTAAGCCTGGGTGGGAGAGCTTGGAAATGGGAAGCAGGCCCACTCGCTGGTGCCAGCCGCCCACCCCCCAGCCCCACCCTGCCGCGGCCTTCTCCTGGGTCTTCTCTCACCATCTCCGAGAAGGCATTGTCCCACAGGATGGTGGCTTTGGCGTTGTTGTCTTGGTTACCATGAACGATGACCACCAAGGGCAGAGACAGGGCCTGGAGGGGGTGAGGAGAGTCTCCTCTTAGCAGAGCAGCAGGGCTGGCCGGGGCTGGCTCTGAGCATCTGGGAGCTGAAGGGACTCTCACCCCGGCAGTTAAAGCTCCTGGCATGCTTTTAGCCTGCAGCTCAGGCAGGCTCTTAGAGAGAAGGGGTCTGTGCAGCCTGAATTCCAGGTGATAAACACTTAGGAGCTGTGTGACCTGGGCAAATGCCTCAACCTCTCTCTGTCTCAACGGCCTCATCTGTCAAATGATAGCTGGTAACAGAGCCCGTCTCATAAAGCCTCTGAGAAACCCAAATGTGTGTGTGTTGCACCAGCGAGTGCCCTGGTCCATTAAGCGAGTGCTTAGTAAGTGCTGGACCACCCAGTTTCCTGCTGCGAGCTTCCCCTGCTCCAGTGCGCCTGCGTGAATCCCAGAGGCGACAGCAGGCTGCCCCCCCCACCCCGCCCCCAGCGGCGTGGGGCAGGGCTGCGGCTCACCTGGAGCTGGACGGGGACTTTGCCAGGGCCCAGCGTGAAGCTGGTGGAAAAGAGCACAGCACACTTCTCCTCAGTGACCGACTCGGTGCCCTTCCGCTCACACCGCTTGATTTTCTTCAGAAGCTGCCGGTGGGCGGAGGGAGAGCAGGGGTGAGGGCGTGAGGGCAGAGGCCGCTGCCCTGGGGCTCCCCAGCCTCCTCTCCAGGGACAGTCCCAGCGTCTGAGGAGCCCCGGCCCCCTGGGGCCCCTCACCAGGTTCTTGAAGAGGGCGGAGCAGCAGTTCCCAGGAATGCTGTTCTCCAGGGACGCGGTGTTGTTGAGAATTTCTCCTGTGCTCTCTCTGCCGGGCGGGCGGGACAGCGTGTGAGCCAGGTGCACGGAGGGGCTGTGGTCCACGGCGGGGACGCTCACTGCCACTGGCCCTAAGTCTCCACGTCCCTGCTTGGGCTCTTAAGGGAGGAGTCCCCATCACAGCCAAATCATGGCGTCCCCACTCCCTTCCAGCCCTGAATGGGTCCTTGCCTTTTCTCTGTCCTGCTCAATGGGGTCTCCACACCCACGTGCCTCCCTCCCCATCACCCCACTCCATGGTGCCAGCCCCACAGGCTCCTCTTAGAGCCTCCATCACTCCCGAGACCCCCTCCGGCCCCTGGTCCAGCTCCAGCTTACGCAGAAGTGCCAGGTCCCTGGGGCACACTCAGCTCCCTCGCCTGCTTCTCGGTCACCATCTCAGCCCTGACCAGCGGAGGCTTGGCTGAGGCCCCCAGGAACCGCAGGCCCAGCAGGAATCGGACCCCTGCCTGGAACTTGGTCTGGGTCTTCAGAACCTGGGGGGGCTGCTTCTCCACCAGGAAGGAGCTGGGAGGAGTGAAGAGGTCATGGAGGGGAGGTACGGGCTGGCTCCTCCCGGGCCTGTCACTCGACTCTGGCCCCCTCCATCCCCGGGGGCTCCCAGGACACACCTGGTGACCAGGGTGTGCAGGACTTCATCCAGCCGGCTGATCAGCGGGGCCCGGGTCTTGGGCTCCAGCTCCGCACCAGCCGCCCCTACCTCCTGCTGTAGCTGGGAATAAATGTCCACCAGGCTCTCACACCTGGGGCCAGGACCACGGTCAGGGGGCGCAGGGTTCAGGCTGCCTGCTCTGGCCCAGACCCCCTTCCCCTAACCCAGAGAGAAAGCAGGTGTGCAGGTGGGCCTGGGTAGAAGGTGGTTCTGGGACCTGCCTTGGCTCAGGGCAAGAGGCTCAGTCTAAGGGACCACACCCCCTGTGGAAAGCTGGCCATCTCTTCCCCAGCTCTGAGACCCAGGACAGCTCCCAGCACAAAGAGTGCTTTTGAGTAAACTGGAAGATGCCCCCCTGCCTATCAGGCTCCTAGGGCCAGCATTGAGCAAAGCAATTTAGCTGCTGCCTGCAACATGGACATCCCATATGGGAGTGCCGGTTCGAGTTCCAGCTGCTCCACTTCAATCCGGTTTCCTGCTAATGATTCTGAGAAAGCAGCAGAGAATGGTCCAAGTGCTTGGGCCCCTGTTACCTGCATGGGAGACCCAGAAGGAGTTTGTTGCTTCTGGCTTCAGCCTAGACCAGTCCTGGCCATTGTGGCCATTTGGGTAGTGAACCAGTCAATAGAAGATCTCAGTCTCTTTCTGTCTCCCCTCCCCCACCTTGTCTCTCCCTCTTTATTGCTATGCATTTCAAATAAATAAGTAAATAAATATTTTTAAAAGGCTCCCTGCTCCTCAGAGCCTGAAGCCTGGAGAGAGAGGCAGGACTTGAATAAGCCCCGACTTGTGCCCTCCCCAACAGGGCACCCTCTACAGGCTGCGGCCGGAACTGCAGTGTACACAGCCCTGCAGGAGCTGGCTTCTCTGAGTCTCAGTCCCCTCCAAGCCCTCCCTCCTGGCTTCTCACACCCATGGGCCCTCTAGCCGGGAAGGCAGGTGCCCACCCCCAGCCCTCCCCCTTCCCCATCGCCGTGAGTCAACCTCTCCTGCAGCGGGGCCAGGCTCTCCTCAAAGGGTGCGCCATTCCCTGACAGCTGTTGCTGCCGCTTCCAGATCTGGATCCTCTTCAGCACCAAGGCCTGGGCTGCCTCCAGCTCCCCCACGGCCACCTGCAGCAGCGTGGCCAGCGCCTGCAGGCAGGGAGAGGTCCCAGCTAGGATTGCCTGCTGCCGCGTCCTCACCCAGCTCTCCGGACAGGGCTCTCCTCACCGTAGCGCCCCCTCCCCAGGCTGTGTCTCTCTGAGCTCTAATCGCCATCTGAGCAGCTGCACTTTGAGCGCAGTCTCCACCTCTCAGGCCATTACTCACCTCATTTGGGCCTGTCCCATTGGCAGGAGTTTCCAGCAAGCTGTGCAAAGACACTGAGGGTGGGGGTGGAAATCAGGGATGCAGATAGATGGGAGGAGCACCCCCACATCCTCCTCAGAACCCTCTTCTGGCTCCAGGCCCGGGCTCCTACCTTGGCCGGCCTCAGGCCCCTGCTGCAGGGCGTCCCGGAGACGGTGGGCCTCCTCCACTCGGTGCCGCAGCCTCTGCAGGGCTGTGCTGAACTTGAGCTCTTCCTGCTTCCAGTGGAAGGGCATTGGCAGGTGGTGGAACTGCGCAGGAGGGAGAGATGCCGACAGGTGAGATGTCCTGCCACCCCCCTGCACTTGGCCAGGACGGGGACCCTCCCCTTACCCTGCTGCCTTCTCCCCTGTGGCAGTTCTCCTTGACCCTCTGTGATCCCCTGAGCACGGGACCTTTCTCCCAGCAGCACCAGCTCCTTACCGCTTGCCCTATACCCACCCCCAGGCCTCATTATCCTCAGCCTCCCTTTGGAAGCATCCTTGAACTTGGCGTGGAGTTCACTCTGGCCTCAGGAACCTCTTCTGCTTACCCTGGGTCTTGAACACTGACCCGCTCGTGAGGTTCAAATTCTTTCTACTTTCTCATGCTCAAATGAAAGTCCCAGGGAGTTGCGTTGGGGCAGAAGGGGGGTATCACATGGTACCTGTTCCATAACAGCTTTTTTCTCCCCTTGAAGAATTTGTCTGAAAATGGCCACCAGCTTCAGGGGGTCCCTCTGATATACACTCTGTGAAAGTGAGGGTAGTGGGCAGTTAGCCTGGCTCTCAGCCCTGCCCTTTTCCTCCCTCCAGCCCCCAGGCCCTCACTGTCAAGAGTGCTGACAGACAGCACAACCGTGGAGTCCGGAAGTTTTCATGCATTGGCATACTTTTACAATCTGTTTTGCATGTTAGGTAATAGCTAACCACAGGAACACCAGTTTGCCTCCAACATCCCATCAGTTGTCTCCCAGCACCCACTGTTCACCCCAGCTCAGCCTCCTCGGCCCCTCCCCTCGGCCCCACCTCCAGGGTGCTGATGGGTTGCAAGATGGCGCTCCCCTCGCCTTGCTCTCCCGCTGAGGTCTGGAGGCGCTTGACCGTGGCTGAAAAGAGAGCGCTAGCCATGGAGAGGCAGAAGGCGTCCGAGCCGACCAGGAACTCCCTGTGGAAAGATGACTATGAGGCTCCCCTGACCATGTGCAATACGGTGTCTTTCCTCCTCCTTGTCCTCCGTCTAGGCCCTCTGTGGCCGTCACCCTTGACCCTCATCCCCCAGTCTTGCAGCTGTTGTGAGAAGTGCCCTTGCCCAGCCCTGACTGCCCTCCTGTGGGGAGCAACTGGGACTAGACTGTTACTCGAATTAAGACTTATTGTATGCATCTGCTCTCCCACAATATGGTGCTGGGAGAGGAGTAAACAGCTTCTACACAGCTGCCTCCAGTTCAACCAATAAACAGCAGGACCTGCTCCTGATTGGAGGAGAGCAGCGTACTCGGCGTGTGGGTAGCAGAGTTGGGATTGGTGGAAGAGGACTATAAAGGAGGAGAGAGACAACATGTACCAGGAACATCTATCTGAAGGAACACCTGTGCAGCCCCCGAGAGAGCCGGCCGGTGGTGTGCCACTCCCCCACGGAAGTGGGGAAAGTGGCAGGGGGAACCGCCCTTCCACGGAGGTGGAAGGGTCGGTAGCCAACCCAGGAAGAACCAGCAGCAAACCCGGAAAGGGCCGAGCAGACAAAAGAACAGCGCAGGGTTTAGTCTCGTTCCTCCATGAAGAAGGGAGCGACACCCTCCTCTTTGGCTTAGCCTCCTAAGGCCCTGGACGGGGGGTGCAGGGGGCAGGGCGGGGATTGTCCACATCCACACGCACAGCCTGGTCAGGATGGGATACAGAGTCACTCACTAAATTCAGACGACCACATGGGGAATAACCGCCCCCAAGTCCCGAATTCCATGGCGAGGGGAAGATCTCATCAGAGAGAGAGGATGGGCTGGGGGGATCAGCATGGGGCAGCCAGGACTCACCAGGGCTGGGTCTCCAGCCAGTCTCCCAGGAGATGCCGCAAGTGTGGGGGGAAGTCGACGTAGAGTCGCTGCAGTTTCTCTGGGGGCATCTTGGAGACCAGACCCCACAGAGACATGATGTGGGGTTTGGAGGGTGCCTGGAAGAAAGGAGCAGAACCACTCTGAGTGGTGGCCAAGAAACACAGCCTGTTTTCTGGAGCCTCCAGGGACTGCCGTTAGCCAGCCCTGCCCACGGCCAGAACCCCTCAAACCAGGAGCTATGTGGCCAATGCCTTCAGCAGTGGACACCGGGTCATCGGCGGTGGCGAGAGCTCAGCTGCAGCCTGAGGGGTGGGGACACGGGAGACAGAGACATAAGGAAAGTGCTCTCCTAATTTTTTATTTACATGTTTGAGAGACAGACAGACAGGCAGAAGAGAGCTCCCATCTATTGGTTTACTCTCCAAATGCCTGTAAAACTTGAGGCTGGGCCAAGCAGAAGCCAGGAACCAGAAGCTGGGACTCAATCCAAGTGTTCCACACGAGTGGCAGAAGCCCAGCTACCTAAGCCATCACTTGCATTATCAACAAGTCAGAATCAGGAGCAGAGCCAGGATCCCAACCCAGCACCCTGACACAGGATGTGGGCATCTCAGCGGGTGCTGTGCCTGCTAGGCCGAATGCCCACCCTGGGGAGAGTTCTGCGACATGGTTTGAGCTGCAGCGCCAGCTCCAGCTCTGGTTCTGTGCGCAGAGCGCCTCCCCTCAATGGGTCTCAATCTTCCCATCCATTAAATGGGAGGTTTCAAAGGGAGAACATTCCACACTTTAAAAAGAAGTAGACAGGGGCCAGTGCTGTGGTGTAGCGGGTAAAGCTGCCACCTGCATTGCAGGCATCCCATAGTGGCGCCGGTTTGAGTTCTGGCTGCTCCACTTCTGATCCAGCTCTCTGCTATGGCCTGGGAAAGCAGTAGAGGATGGCCCAAGTGCTTGGGCCCCTGCACCCACGTGGGAGACCCGGAAGAAGCTCCTGGTTCCTGGCTTCAGATTGGTCCGGTTCCAGCTGCTGCAGCCATTTGGGGAGTGAACCAGTGGATGGAAGATTCTCTCTCTCTCTCTCTCTCTCTCTGCCTCTCTTTGACTCTGCCTTCCAAATAAATAAAATAAATCTTTTTTTTTAAGGTAGACAATTGTAGTTTTTGATCTGTGGGATCTCAATGCCAGCTATTCCCCCTTAGCCATGGGGGATGCATTCCAAAATGTTGCTCAGAGGCCTGAAACCAGATAGTACCTGAAACTGAGCCCTGCATATGCCATATATTTTTGCTATGCATGTATACACATCTATGATAAAGTTCAGTTTATAAATTATGCACAGGAAAGCACTAACGATAGCTAATCATAACCTGGATACAAGTTGAACCATGTACTGTAAAAAAGTCTTTTAAGGTCTATGAATCGTATTTTGATATTTTCCACTTCATATCTTCAGGCCTCGGTTTGCTGCCAGTAACTGAAACCCTGGAAAGGGGAACCGCAGCTAAGGGGGAGCCTCTGCACACAGAAGGTGTAAAATTAGAGCTGCTCTCCAGAGAGTGCGTGTGGAGAACTCTCCTGCTTCTTCTTTCCTCTCCCACCTCCTCACCCCAAAGGTGTCCCTAGAGAAACTTCTCAGAGTTCTCGAACTCTGGGGCAGGGGTCTGGCTGCTGCTCAGGACTACGGAGTGTCCGGGTTTGAGTCGCGACTCCTCTCCATTCAGCTTCCGCTAATGTTCACCCTGGAGGGTGGCAGGTGATGGCTCAAGTATTTGATTCCTTACCTCCCATGTGGGAGACCCAGACTGGGTTCCTGGCTCCTGGCTTCCGCCTGGCCCACACCTGGCTGTTGTGAGCATTTAAGAATGGGCGATCTCTTTCTTTCAAATAAATACATATTTTTAAATATTTATTTATTTATTTGAAAGACAGAGTTACAGAAAGAGACAGAGAGAGAGAGAGAGAGAGGACTTCCATCTGCTGGATCACTCCCCAAATGACCACAAAAGCCGGATCTGAGCTGACCCAAAGTCAGGAACCAGGAGCTTCTTCCGGGTCTACCACATGGGTACAAGCGCCCAAGGCCTTGGGCTATCTTCTACCACTTTCTTAGGCCATAGCAGAGAGCTGGATCAGAGGTGGAACAGCCAGGACTCAAACCGGCGCCCATATAGGATGCCAGCACTGCAGGCCAAGGTTTTAACCTGCTGTGCCACAGTGCTGGCCCCTAAATACATAAAATTTAAAACCAGCCAGCATTGTGGTGCAGCGGGTGTAGCCGCCACCTGGGACACTCACATCCCATATCAGAGTGCCTGGTCCCAGCCCTGGATCCCGTGCTGTATCAGCTTCTGGCTAATGCTCCCAGGAAGGCAGCATATGATGGCCTAAGTGCTCGGGTCCCTGCCACTCATGTGGAAGCACTGGATGGAGTTCCAAGCTCCTGGTTTCAGCCTGACCTAGCACCGGCTCGTTGGAAGCATTTGGGGGAGTGAGCCAGCAGATGGAAGGTGTCCCTCTCTGCCTTTCAAATAAAGACATCTTTTTTTTTTTTCTTTTACAGGCAGAGTGGACAATGAGAGAGAGAGACAGAGAGAAAGGTCTTCCTTTTCCATTAGTTCACCCCTCAATGGCCGCTGCGGCCGGTGCGCTGCGGCCGGTGCGCTGCGGCCGGCGCACCGTGCTTATCTGAAGCCAGGAGCCAGGTGCTTCTCCTGGTCTCCCATGCGGGTGCAGGGCCCAAGCACTTGGGCCATCCTCCACTGCCTTCCTGGGCCACAGCAGAGAGCTGGACTGGAAGAGGAGCAACCAGGACAGAATCCAGCACCCTGACTGGGACTAGAACCCGGTGTGCCGGCGCCACAGGCAGAGGATTAGCCTATTGAGCCGTGGCATCGGCCAAGAAATTTTTTTTTTATTCTAGGACTCCATAAGATAATCTGGAAGCCATCAGGCTAGATGATGAAGAAGACGGTAGAGTAACAACTACCATTTCTTACGTACTTACTCTAGGAAGCACTACACTCAGTGCATTAGCTCATTGGAGACTCACAACCAATTCTAAAATATATAACTCTCCCTTTCCACAGGGGAGGAACTCAGGGATCAGCAAGGTCCTCGACATGCCCGGAGTCACTCAACAAGTGTGAGGCCAGCACCCCGAGGACTACTTCCAGCTCCAAATCCCTCGTCCTGAGAAGCATGGAGGGAGGGTGGGAGGAGTCTTGAGGGAGGAGAGACAGAGAAAAAGTGAAACTGTTGAGGAGGAGAGAGGGTGAGAGAGGCTGGAGGAAGAGGGGGGTGGGAGCCTGGAGTGAAGAGTGAGCAGACAGAGAGGGCGAGACGCGAGGGGGAGGGGAAAGGCACAGCGGGGCAGCAGGGGACAGGGCTACCTCCCATTTCTACAGGGTGGGCTGGGCGAGCCAGAGGTTCCCCACGGGTCTCCCAGGTCGGGGCTCTCACGCTAGCCCTGTCCCAGAGCCGAGCCAGAGGACAGGGAAGGGAGCTCCCAGAGTCTGTCCTAACTTGGTAACCCCAACATGCGGCCTCTCCCCGTCCCAGGACTCCCAAAGGGATGGAAAACAGATGCCCCTTCACTGGACACAGCTGTGCCAAACCCTCTGGCCCTTCTCCCCCTCCCCCCCATCCCCACTCTCAGCTCTTCTCCTCCCAAGGCCAGAGGCTCCTCCCGCAGGCCTCTCCTCTCTCTCCCCAGCCCCAGGGGTTGGGCACCTTCCCGAACACTGCTTGTCTGGGTTTCAAATTCAAGGCAGAACTCCTTCCCTCTCTCCCCTCCACAGCCCCACTCCACGAGGATGCTAGGATTCCAGGCCTTTGACCCCCTGCCCCTGCCCTGCTGGGGACTGGGGACTGGGGTGATTCCCAAGTAATAGGCAGCCCCCCTTTCCTCTTGGCACAGCCCTGGCTTCAAATTTCCACCCCTTCTCCAACCATCGGGACGACTCACTTAAAAAGGCTGAGTCCATCGGCCTGGCCAGGCCCAGGGCCCCTTTGGCCTCCAGCCCCCTGAAAGAGGCAGAGAGGGAGGAACCTCCGTGTCAGGGGGCGGGGCCAAGGTTCCCTCCCAAACAGGGTCGGGGAGCCAGACATCCAGGACCTCCTAGGGGCTGGGTGATCCCGAGTTTTCGGGCCGCGGGGCCACAGGACCCAGAGTCAGGAGAGCGCCCGCTTCTGGGTTGCCCCAGGAATATATGGGGCTGGGGGCGGGGCCGGCTCAGCGCAAGGAGGGTTAACTCCACGCCGCCGCCCGCCCGCAGGGAAATCTGCAGCAGCCAAGCGTGGAGCAGTTTGAGGGGGAAATTCCCCCTCGACCCGGGCACCATGAGGTCTACTTCTGGGGCTCGCTCACCCTCAGCCACACCCTTGAACAGGAACATTTGGCGAGGACAGGATGGGGCTCTTACCGGGACCCACTGCGCCCTGGCATCAACCTTCTGCGGAGGGGCCGGCGCTTCCCCCCTTCCCCCGCCCCAGAGGGCAGAGGGGCGCCCCCTCCCTGCAGCCTGCTCTCCCTAACTTCCCTGCTCTGGAGGTGTCCCGGCAGGTGTGGGGGAGAGTGCCCCAGGGGGTGGGTGTGACGAGGCCTGTACTCACCCCCGACAACTCTGGCTGCTGGAAGCTGCCAAACCTCCCTGCGGCCCAGAGCTGGGCCCCCACACCCCGCCCAGAGCAGGAGCCCCACACGCACGCACCCAGGACCCCCACCCTGCCCGCCTCCCAGACATCCCCTCACCTTGGCAACCCCTCCGCTGTCTTCTCCCTCTCAGCAGGCACTGCCAGGCCCCATGGGGCTGGAGCTCTGTCCACGAGTTCGGGGCTGCCCGGCAGGCACCCCCTCCTCCTCCACCACCACCAGAGAGAGAACAAAACTCTCTCTCTCTCTCTCTCTCTCTCTCTCTCTCTCTCCCCCTCTCTCTGGCCTTCCTCTTCGGTGCAAGCAGTAGCTGCCCCGGCCCGCTGTTTCCGGCTTCTCAGTCTACCCAGGTCCCTCCCTGGAGCTCTGACGACACAGAGAAGAGAAAGTGGGCCGGAGGAGGAAGAGGAAGAAAGTGGGGTGAACGTGTGTGCCTCCCGGGCTGGGAGGGAGACTGCCGACAGGCCAGGGCTCCTGCCGGGCTGGAGGGGAGCCCACCCCCACCTACTCTGGCCCCCTCAAAAGTGATCAACTTTTCTGAGTCACCTACTCTCAAGCCGAGACGGGCGGCCCCAGACTGCCTGACTCTCGCGCTCAGACTGTGCCCAGGGCTGGGGTTAGGGGCCACGAGGCACCGGGCTTCCAGCACCTCTGGAAAAGGAAACCCCTCTGCACTCGGCGCTGTCTCCAGCGGAGGACCCTGAAAAGCAGCCGGGGCTCCCCTCCCTCCTGGGCCCGGCACGCCCTGGACGTCGCGTGACCGCTGCTGGGAGCTGGGGGGAGGGGATGCCTCCGCTCAGAATTCTGGAAGCCTCCAGGAGTCCGTGGGCAATTGCAGCCTGGCTTTGCCCGCTCTTTGCAGGGTAGCCCTCTTTAGCCCCTGGTGGGCCAGCCCAGGCGGAGCCGCTGTCTGCATTTTCCCCAGGGGGCAAGTTTAACTATGAATCTGCTGTGCAGGTTTGGCGAAGTTCCTATCTGTTTCTGGGGTAAACACGGAGACACACCCAGAAACAAACACAGATGCACAAGTTCCCCGTCCACATCACCGCGCGCGCGCGCACTCCGGCTCGCACACGTTTGCACGCCGTGCCCCTTGCAATCCCAACCGCGAGCGCGCGCGCCCACGAGCGCGCGCGCGCACACACGGCCCGCTCAGCTTCCGCGTCATCACAGCCGGTGGATATTTTTGCAATTTTTGCTGGGGCAGAAGCTAGAGAAGACCAAGGGACCCGGGGAGGCCTTGCGAGTGGGGATGTGTGGAAAGAGTTGTGTCAAAGGCACAGGGCGGGGAGTAGGGGACGGAGTCGAGGGTGGGGTGGGGGTGGGTACAGGAGGCTTCTGCTCCCCTCTGCTTTACCAGGGCTGGGCCCAGGAGCCAAAGCTAGGCCTGTGCTGCCCCCTGGTGCCTACACTGGTGGCCAGTCCCTGACGCCTCTCTTCCCTCCTCTGTGAACCAGAGAGGCAGAGCGTGAGGGCACGTGGGGGTGGGGGCGGAGGGTGGCGACAGCGGGGCCGCAGAGGGCACAGGACGGCAGCTTAGGCGCTGGACTGTGGGCAAGGACCGCCTGGGTTCCGAGTCTGCCACTGGCCGTGACCGCACAGCCCTGAGAAATGTGCTCGGGTGATTCACTTCTGCCATCTGTAAAATTGAACCCCTAACAGTCTTCCCCCAAAAGCTTGTTAGAAACGTGATTCCTGTGAGGGGTTCGAGCATCCAACACCTATTCTAACAGAGCAGACCTCGGGTGCTGCTTTATGGTCCTGAATAGGCGTTGGAAGGGAGGGGGCAGCGCGGGGCTCTCCATCCTACCCGAGGGGATATGTTTGGGGGTGACGTTACCTACTGCCGCACAGCACAGCAGAGTGTGAGTGTGCATTTATGTGCCCACTGCCCGGCAGTGAATGCAACAGGGAGAGCAGGGGGGTCTGTCCTTGGGCTTGTGTACCCAGCAGCGCTAGCATGTGTGTGCTCACCTCTGTGCACTTTGTAGGTGCCCCCCCCCCAGTCCCACACTCTGTGCCTGCAGCCATCCCAGACGGTAGCTGAAGCTGGGCTTGGCCATGGGAGAGTCCAATTGGGATGGAGAAGGGGAAACAGCAGACGCAGTCTCTCCCCTTGGATCTCTTAGGGAGTAGAAAGGTAAGGAGAAAGACTAACAGGAAAATCATATTTATTGTCTTCCTTTCTAACTGATTGCCCCAGTGGGAACACCGGTTGTCATGGAAAGAGTCAAGGATGTAGAGGCAAATCTGGCTTGGGTCTGGCTCCACCTATGATCTTTATAACCATGTGTCAACTCCCCAAGTGGGTACAATCGTTAGGCCAAATTCCGTAGCGGAGGTGCCTATGGGGAGGTGCCTGGGGTGCTTAATTTTAGGAGGTGCTCATCTTCAGGCTGTGCACTTGCAGAGTCTGCGGGACTTGCATGAACCGGAGAGTAAGCAGCTTCCTCACCTGACCCGCCTCTAGGCCCTCCCGGTCCGCTGAGTGGCTATGAAGAGTGCATGAGAGAAAGCACAGGGGGAAAGAACTGTGTGGCCTCTGAACTGCAGGTCTCAACCCAGCAGTGAGCCCTGAAAGCAGTTTGATGAGTATCAGTCAGCTCAGGCTGCTACGATGGACACCTCATGCTAGGTGACTCTGACAACAGAAACGCTAGGGCAGGCATTTGGCTTGGCAGTTAAGACGCTCCCACCCCTTTTCATCACAGTACCGGGGTTCGATTCCTGGCTCCTGATTCCAGCTTTCTGGAAGGCAGCTGTGATGGCCCAAGTCACTGAGTTAACTGCCACTTGGGTAGGAGACCCGAACTGAATTCCCTATTCCCAGCTTCCGTTTGGCCCAACTCTAGCTGTTGTGGACATTTGGGTGAGTGAACCAGAGGATAGGGGCTCTCTCCCTCCCTCTCAAATAAACAAGAATTAAAAGCAAAGATCGAGGTGTTGGCAGGGTTGGTTCCTTCTGAGGGCTGTGTGGGCAGAATCTGTCCAGGCCCCTCTCCATGGCTGTCTCCATGTTCACGTGTTCTCCTGCACATGTCTGTCTCCAGAGTCCCCCCTTTTGTAAGGATAGCAGTCATATGGGATTGAGGCTCACATGCTTAACCATCACTTCTTAACAACAGCATAGATCAAAGGCATCATACAAAGTAAGGGTAAGTAATGTTTAATAAATTTTTGTTTCAGTCATATATACAAAGGTACATCAAACAGTTCATGAAAAGGGAATTAAATGATAAGTTTTATTTTGGTGTAAAAATTTTTGAAATTCATGCATTGGGGGCTGGCATTTTGGTGCAGCAGGTACAGCTACCATTTGCTTCACCAGTATCCCATACCAGAGCACTGGTTTGGGTTCTGGCTGCTCTGCTTCTGATCCAGCTCCCTGCTAATGCACCTGGGAAAGCAGCGGAAGACGGCCCAAGTGCTTGGGGCACTGCCTCCCACGTGGGAGACCTGAATGGAATTCCTGGCTCCTGGCTTCTGCCTGGCCCAGCCCTCGCTGTTGCTGCCATCTGAAGTTGAATCCGCAGATGGAAGATCTGTTTCTTTCTCTGTCTCTTCTTCTCTGTCACTCTGTCTTTCAAATAAGTAAACATTAAATATTAAAAAAGAGAAATTCATGCATAGTTCTTTCATAATGGGATTTATTTAGGGAAAGAACAAGGAGAGCTTTATTTATTTATTTATTTATTTGACAGGCAGAGTAGACAGTGAGAGAGAGAGACAGAGAGAAAGGTCTTTCTTTGCCGTTGGTTCACCCTCCAATGGCCGCCGTGGCCGGCACGCTGTGACCGGTGCACCGCGCTGACCCGAAGGCAGGAGCCAGGTGCTTCTCCTGGTCTCCCACGCGGGTGCAGGGCCCAAGGACTTGGGCCATCCTCCACTGCACTCCCGGGCCACAGCAGAGAGCTGGCCTGGAAGAGGGGCAACCGGGACAGAATCCGGCGCCCTGACCAGGACTAGAACCCAGTGTGCTGGCGCCACAGGTGGAGGATTAGCCTATTGAGCTTTTTAAACACCTTTTATATGCAGGTTTCAATATTTCTGCAACAAAATAAACTTATGTTTTAATTTCATTTTCCACAAACTTCTTAAAGTACCTTTGTATGTATCCGAATTCTCAGTAATGATGTAAAACTTACCCTCTGTACAGGTTATGGTTAAAAAAAAAAAAGCACTATGGGGCTGGTGTTGTGGTGTAGTAGGTTAGGCATCCACCTACGGTACCAGCATCTCACATGGGTGCTGGTTCGAGTCCTGGATGCTCCTCTTCTGATTCAGCTCCCTGCTGATGGCCTGCAGAAGCAGTAGAAGATGGCCCAAGTGCTTGGGCTGCTGCACCATGTGGGAAGACCCAGAGGAAGCTCCTGGTCCCTGGCTTTGGATCGACCCAGTGGCCGTTTGGAGAGTGAACCAGCAGATGGAAGACCTTTCTCTCTGTCTCTCCCTCTGTCTGTAACTCTCCCTATCAAGTAAATAAATATATTTTTAAAAGTATTATTTGGATGTTGATGGGCATCACGTATCACTCTGCATAGCCTTTACTCATTGCAGGAGTGCACTTTCCTTCCCCATAACACAAGCTGCAGGAGGGCAGAAACTCCCATCACACTGTGTGTGCACACTGCTCTTCAACAGCAAAGGCACCATGCTTTCTTGCGTGTCAGTATAACAAGGGTTGCCTCTCTTTATTTTTAATTTTTATTTTTTAAAGATTTATTTTATTTATTTGAAAGACGTAGTTACAGAGAGAGGTAGAGACAGAGAGAGAGGTCTTCCATCTGCTGGTTCACTCCCCAGATGGCTGCAGTGGCCAGAGCTGCATCGATCCAAAGCCAGGAGCCAGGAGCTTCTTCCAGGTCTCCCACGTGGGTACAAGGGCCCAAGGACTTGGGCCATCTTCTACTGCTTTCCCAGGCCATAGCAGAGAGCTGGATGGGAAGAGGAGCAGCCAGATTAGAACTGGCACCCATGTAGGATGCTGGCGCTTCAGGCCAGGGCTTTAAGCCACTGCTCCACAGCGCCGGCCCCTTTTTTATTTTTTAAAAATATTTATTTATTAAAGGCAAAGTTAAAGAGAAGCCAGGGGAGAAAGATATCTTCCATCTGCTGGTTTACTCTCCAAATGGCCACAATAGCCAGGGCTGAGCCAGGCCACGGCCAGGAGCCAGGAGCTTCTTCTGGGTCTTCCATGTGGGTGCAGGGGCCCAAAGACTTGGGCCACCTCCTACTGCTTTCCCAGGCCATAGCAGAGAGCTGGATCAGAAGTGAAGCAGCCAGGCCTCAAACTGAATACCATATGGGATACCAGCACTGCAGGTGGTAGCTTTACCCACTATGCCACAGCGCTGGCCCCAGGGCTGCCTCTTACCAACTGCTTTCTCTGTCCTGGCCACTGGGCTGTGTGTTTTACACACTAGGTTGTGTGTGTGTATATATTTAAATTTTATTTGGAAGACAGAGTTATATATAGAGATCTTCCATCTGCTGGTTCATTCCCCAAATGGCTACAAAAGCCAGACAATAGTCAGAAGCCAGAAGCTCCTCTGGGTCTCCCATGTGGATGCAGGGACCCAAAGATCTGAGCCATCTTCCACTGCTTTCCCAGGCGCACTAGCAGGAGGTTGGATGGGAACTATATAGCCAGGACTCAAACCAGCCCATATGGGATGCCAGCCCTGCAGGCAGTGACTTTACCCACAATGCCACAGCACCAGCCCCAGGACTAGGCTTATTGATGGAGTGACTGCTGCTGCCAGCAAGACAGTTCTGGGTGCTGGTTAGTGATCTGGGATTTGTGGAGGATTGAAGGATGGGAGAAAGGGGTCACAGAAGTGTCGGAGCTGCCGACGACCCCCCCCCCCATCTCCCAGGCCTTCACAGTTCCTGCCAAACTGCAATGGTCGGCGCCGCGGCTCACTTGGCTAATCCTCCAACTGCAGCACCGGCACTCCGGGTTCTAGTCCCGGTTGGGACACCGGTTCTGTCCCGGTTGCTCCTCTTAGTGGAGGATGGCCCAGGTCCTTGGGCCCTGCACCCGCATGGGAGACCAGGAGAAGCACCTGGCTCCTGGCTTTGGATTGGCACAGGGCGCAAGCCGCAGTGCGTGGGCTACAGCATACTAATGGTAGCGGCCATTTGGGGGGTGAACCAACAGAAAAAGAAAGAGCTTTCTCTCTCTCTCTCTCTCACTGTCTAACTCTGCCTGTCAAAAAAAAAAAAAAAAACCAAACTGCAATGCACCTTGATACCAACTCATCAGTTAGAGTAGAGGAACCAGAGACCATCTGTAGGAAGTTCCCTGAAGTTCCTGCTGCTCTGTCCCAAACACACACACACACACACACACACACATCTGCACCTGCTGACTCAGAGGAGATGGTGTTGTGCAGCTCCCGCCCCTGCTCAAGGCAGACTCCTCCACAGTGCCCATGGAGCCTCCCTTCCAACCCTCCTCATGCACTGGGTCCCTTCCTTAGAGTCCCTCGACCGGCAATCCCCAGCCTCATGCTCGGGATCACCACAGCTCTATACCCCCAGTGTATAAGCCCGCTCGCTTCCTCTCAGCTGCGGAAAAGAAACATCAAACAAGCAGGAGCTGGTGGTGTTGCTGGGGACCATGGGGGCGCCATCTGGGCGATCGCTTGAGGAGAGAGACAGGAACAGCGTGCCTGCATTCTGTGGAAGGCCAAGGATGCAGGGAATGGTCCTCTGTGCCCTAGGTCGTGGGAAGGCTCACGCCACAGAGGCCTTGGACGCTGCGTTCCAGGAAATGGACAAGGATCTGTTTATGGCACAGGATGTTTCTCCTTTCCCTCCTTGGGAGAGAGCCTGCTGCATGCCGCCCCGAGGGCGAAATTGTGCTGATGCAGGCAGATAGACTCTCACTGACTCAGCGAGAGTGGTCGGGGTGTTATTTGCAGGAAATAGAAGCCGCAGGACAGGGCGGAGAGAGCTTCCTTCTCTGCTGGCGGAAGGGCTTCCCTCTGGCGCCCCAGCTTCTGAACGCTCACTTGTTCTCTTTGTGTTTATTCGTTGCACGCTGTCCCATCTTCACCCTGTGCAGATCTAGGCAAGCGGCGCCCGCTTACCTAGAACCTGGAGAGGAAGGCTCGCGGAGTTAGCAGAAGTGAAAATACATCGGAGCAGGCGGCAGCGGGAGCGCAGAGCGTCTGGAGCCAGAGCGTCTGGAGCCGCGACTGTGAGTCCTGCTTTCGCTTTAGCCAGAGTAGTCGTGGAGCAGGACATTAGTGCAGCAAAAATACAGTGTCGGAAGGTTTTGAAACAACTTCTGAAAGGTGAAGAGATTGGGTGTTAGAAAAGACTTCTCGGTAGTTGTAGAGTACAATCCATGGCTTCCAAAGCAGGGAGCTTTAGACCTCCAAGAGGGAGACAAAGTGGGGGAGACATTAAAAAGGGCCGCCGGGAAGGGGTACAGTTGCCTCAAGCCTCCTTTGCTCTGTGGTCCAGTCTCAGGCTCGTCCCGACACCCATGCAGAGACGCTAAACCAACCTGCCCGGCTACTGCAAATGATGACCGGCCTCTGCCGCCGCCACCGCCTCTACCAGCTGCCGGTGCACCATGCTCTCTCGTGGAGACCCCCATACAAAAGGCAGAGAAAGACTGCAGCGTATGGATGCAGAGGCCAGGTCGGCCTTTCCAGTCACTGAGCGCCCAGATCCAAATAATCCTAGTCAATTCATAGAAACCGTTTCACTTTTGATAATAAGGTTCTCAAGGCAATACGGGCTAGCATTGCTCAAAATGGAGCCAAGGCTGCTGTTCCTCTGTCCTTAGTGGTGATGGTGTCTGGGACCTAGCTTGCTCCTGTTGATTGGATGACTTTAGCATGAGGTTGTTTAGACGGAGGGGATTATTCGATTTGGAAATCAGAATATTATGAACAGGCTCAGACGCGAGCTCCAGCTAATCAGAGACAGAATGTTAGCATTACCTCTGCTGTGCTCGCCGCACAAGGCAGTTATTCGGATCTTGCCGCTCAGTGCACCGTGCCCGCCAGTGTGGATGACCTAATCCTACAGCGTGCTGGCCACGCTTGGACGGGAATCCCAGGGAAAGGAGACTTACCTGGGAGTTTAACCAATTGCTTACGGGGACCTAATGAGCCTTTTACAGATTGCAGGGGTCGATTAATGAGACAGATCGACAGTCAGATTGGGCAGGTGCCCAATCTGAAGGCAGTTAGCTCATGAGAATGCTAACACAGACTGCAAAACGGCGACGACACGCTCAAGAAGAAGCGGAACAATCGCTGAAATGATGGGTGCCTGTTGAGATGTGGGCAGTAGCACTCACCAGGCCCAAGCTTTTGCTGCCGCTATGGCCCAACCCCAAAAGGCCTGCTTTAATTGCGGCAAGACAAGCCACTTCCGCAAAGACTGCCGACAGGCACCAAAAAAGATTCCTGGCATCCATAAAGCCACCCCCACTGCGGTCCAAAATGCCCCTGGTTTCGATGTCTTGGCCTTTTATAGCTGATCTTGTCAGCTTAGCGGCTGCTGTTACCCCTGTCTCCACCAGCACCGTAATCATGACCAAGCGATTCCGACTTCTCCATTCATAAATCATTTCATCTTCTTGTCACCAGGACGTTACAAGCACGGAAGAGGCTGGGTGAACTGGGTGACACAGAGCTGCAGCAGCTGAAAGATACAGTGATGTGGCTTGGAGATCAGATAAATACTGTAGAAATAAAAAGTCCCAAATACGTTGTCATTAGGCCTTTTCCACCGTATGTCTCTGATGTTATTCACATCTCTTGACATCAGTCGCTGACAACAACAAATCTGATACCTTCAAAGTGCTCATCACGACGCTTCCACTACAGAACCGTGGCAAGATACAAAACGCCTTTTCCTTACGTGGATCAATACTCATTTTTCACTTACATGTGCTGCGTTTCTTGTCTTATTAATTATGGTTGTTCTTTTATGTGTTGTCTGCCAACGTGAGGGTTAACTGCACAAAAGACACAAAAACCTCAACTCCAGCTACTTTACTCTGATCTAATAAGAAAACAAAAAGGGGGAGATGCTGGGGACCCCCAGGTGCCATCTTGGCGATCTCTTGAGAAGAGAGACAGGAAGAGTGTGCCGGCATTCCTTGGAAGGCCAAGGATGCAGGGAACAGTCCTCTTGTGCCCTAGACCTGGGATGTTACATTGCAGGAAACGGAAAAGGATCTGTTTATCCCACAGGAGGTTCCTCCTTCCCCTCCTCGGGGGTGAGCCTGATCCATGCCGCCCCGAGGGTGAAATTGTGCTGAAGGCAGAATTCCAGAGAGGCAGAGGCAGAGACAGGTCTTCCATCCACTGGTTCACTCCCCAGATGGCTGCAAGGGCCAGAGCTGGGCCGATCCGAAGCCAGGAACCAGGAGCTTCTTCCAGGTCTCCCATGCGGGTGCAGGGGCCCAAGGACTTGGGTCATCTTCTACTGCTTCCCCAGGCTATAGTAGAGGGCTGGATTGGAAGTGGAGCAGCCAGGACTTGAACCAGTGTCCATATAGGATGCAGCACTGCAGGCGGTGGCTTTACCCGCTGCGCCACAGCACTGGCCCCAGATGTGGTGTTATCTGCAGAGAATAAAAGCCACAGGGCATGGCGAAGAGAGGTTCCTTCTTCGCTCTCAGAAGGGCTTTCCTCTGGCCCCCCAGCTTCTCGCTCCCTTGTCCTCTTTGTTTATTCATTGTGCGCTGTCCCCTCTTCACCCTGGAGACACTGCTGTGCAGGGCACTGCACGTTGTGGCACAGTGGGTTAAGCCGCTGCCTGCAGAGCCCACGTCGCATGTTAGAGCACCAGCTCAAGTCCCAGCTGTTCTGCTTCTGATCCAGCTCCCTGCCAATGCACCTGAGAAAGTAGCAGAGGATGGCTCAAGTGTTTGGCCCCCTGCACCCACATGGGAGACCCGACTAGATTTTCTGACTCCTGGCCCAGCCCCAGCCATTGTGGCCATTTGGGGAGTGAGTGGGCAAAGGGGATGAGCTCTTTCTCTTTCTGTCTCTCCCTCTATCTCTGTCACTGTGCCTTTCAAGTAAGTAAACACATTCTTTTAAAAGACAGGCAGGGGACGGCTCTGTGTTGCGGTAGGTTAAAGCCCTGGCCTGCAGTGCAAGCATCCCATATAGGCAACAATTCATGTCCCAGCTGCTTCATTTCTGATCCTGCTCCCTGCTAGTGTGCCTGAGAAAGCAGCAGAGGATGGCCCAAGTCCTTGGGCCCCTGCACCCACGAGGGAGACCCAGAAGCTCCTGGCTCCTGGCTTTGGATTAGCCCAGCCCTGGCTGTTGCAGCCATTTAGGGAGTGAACCAGCGGGTAGAAAACCTCTCTCTCTGTCTTTCTCTCTCTCTCTTTCTCTCTGTCTGTGTGTGTATGTGTGTCTTCCTCTCTCTGTAACTCTGTCATTCAAATAAATAAAATAAATCTTTAAAAAAACAAAAAGCCAAGCAGACAAAGCTACTCCTCCCTCCTAGTTGCCCAGCTAATTCAACAAACATTAGTTGAATGCCTGTCCCTAAGCACAGTGGAGGGATGGCGTCAGACTTGTTAACAAGATAATCAGAGCTGCAGTCCCAGTGAGTGCAGGGTGCACACAAGCGTGGTCAAGGAGGGGGCCACACGGTGGCGCAGTGGGTTAAGCCGCTGCTTGTGACACTGGTGTCCCACATCTTGGGTGCCCCAGGCTGTTCCACTTCTCATCCAGCTCCCTAATAAAGTGCCTGCGAAGGCAGCAGGGATGGCCCAAGTCCTTGGGCCCCTGCCACCCATGAGGGAGACCCAAATGGAGTTCCAGACTCCTGGCTTGACCTGGCCTAGCCCTGGCTGTTGTGAGCATTTGGAGAGTGAAATGAAGATACCTCTTTCTCTCTCTGTTACTCTGCCTTTCAAAAATAAATTAATAAGTAAACTCCGCTGAGGCCTGGTAAAGCAGTAGAAGATGGCCTAAGTTCTTGGGGCCTTTTACCTGTGTGGGAGACCAGGAAGAAGCTCCTGGCTCCTGGCTTCAGGTCATTGCAGCTCCAGTTGTTGTGGCCATCTGGGGCGTGATCCAGCAGATGGAAGACCGCTCTCTCTCTTTTTTCTCTCTCTGCCTATGCCTCTCTGTAACTGTACCTTTCAAATAAATAAATAAATAAATAAATACATATTTTAAAAAAATACTATGAGTTAGAACTGTTTGTAACATGCAGTAACCACAATATGTGATGATTTAAATTTTGAAAGTTAATTCCTCAGATGCACTAACTTCACTTCAAATGCTCAGTAACCACCCATGGCTAGTGGCTATCATAATTGCCCAGATATGGGACATTCCATCATCACAGAAAATTCTACTGGACAGTGCTGATAGCTCTCATTTAAAAATTTTTATTTTCATTTTGCTTGACAGGCAGAGACAGAGAAACAAAGAGAAATCTTGCATCCTTTGATTACTCCCCAAATGCCCGCAACAGCCAGGGCTGGGCCAGAATGAAGCCAGAAGCCCAGAATTCAATCCAGAGCTCTCAAGTGGGTGGCAGGGAACCAAGTGCTTGGATCACCATCTGCTGCCTCGCAGGTTGCACATTAGCAGGAAGGTGGATCAGAAGCAGAGGAGCTGGGACTCAAACCAGGCACTGTGATGTAGGATGTGTGAATTCCAAATGGCATCATTTTTTAAAGATTTACTTATTTATTTGAGAGGCAGAGTTACAGCCAGAGAGAGGAAGAGAGGGAGGGAGGGAGAGAGAGAGAGAGAAAGGTCTTCCATCTGCTGGTTCACTCCTCAGATGGCCGCAATGGCCAGAACTGGGCAGATCCGAAGCCAGGAGCGTCTTTCAGGTCTCCCACGCGGGTGCAGGGGCCCAAGCACTTGGGCCATCTTCTGCTGCTTTCCCAGGTGCATTAGCAGAGAGCTGGATTGGAAGTGGAGAGCCTAGCCTCAAATCAGAGCCCATATGGGATGCTGGTGCTGCAGGTGGAGGCTTAACCTACTTCGCCACAGCGCCGGCCCCTCCAAACGGCATGTGAATTGCTATCCCACTTGCCCCAGTGACCCTCTTTTTACAGATGAAGAAGCTGTGGCACAGTTCACTTAGGTCACTTGTCCAAGGCCAAAGTGAGATTGAATCCAATTAGTCTGGCACCTGAAGCTGTGTTACCCTCCGTCTTCATGCAAGGTGAAAGAGATTTTATCTGACCTTTAAGACAAGCACTGAGGATGCCAACATAGCTGCCAAGCCCTTTCCCCTCGCTAGCAAAGTCTGGATTTTGTACAGTGGCCCCTCCCATACTGAATCTTGTGGGTCCAGCCAATCACTGTGTTTCCATCCCTGTGCCTGCTGACCCAGTCCTGGTCAGTCCCAGTCAACAGGACTCGGGGGGCTCCCAGGGAAGATTTTGTTGTTCTTCAGTGCAATCTCCACTTGTGAGGGCTGGAACAGCTGTAGCCGTGTTGCAGTTGGAGGACAGAGTGTCCATGTGAGCAGGTGGCAGGTCCTTGACGAAGCAGCCACTCCTGGACCTGCTCCAGGACTCCTCACTACTTCAGTGAGGTCTTCCGTTATTGCTGCTAAATGCATCCCTAACTGAGCCTCGCACCGCCATAACGATGGTAGGATATGGAGAGCCCAGAGCAGGCTGCTCGCCCATGCTCCCATCGCCAACCAGCATGTGCACTTAGGAAAGCAAGTGAACTCATTGAGGGAAGAAGGTCCTGGGGACAACCAGGTGTCAGGCACGCACAGAAGGGCAGCGGCAGTGTGAGCTGAGCATGGCCCCAGGCTTCGTGCAGGGAGGGGTGTGGGGAGCAGGGCGAGAGTAATTAGGAAGAGAAAGCACTGGGTTTAGTGGAGAAGGGTGGACGCCCATCAAGGCCTGCCAAGGACGGCAGGAAATGAGCAATGGTGGGGTCAGCTGATCTCAGCTCTGCATGGAGCCCTCAGGCTGTGCCGAGGATAACTGTGGCCAACAGACCTTCACCTCACAGAAGGACAAGTAGCAGCCCTGGTGGGTGGGCGAAGTCCAACGTCTCTGCATGGGGCCGGCTGTGGTCAGGGCTGAGCCTCTGCAAGGAAGTTCCAGCCCTCTAATTACTGTCTTGCCCGCTCTCTCTCCTGTGCAGCCAAGCTTCCTGGGAAAGTCTTGCACTGTCCATCCCTCCTTACCTCATTATACCACTAGCCAGCTTCCTCCCAGCCGAGCCAGTGGAGCGGCCATGGCCCGGCTCACATAGGCGCTCGGCTGTGCCAAGAACAATGGTGAGGCGCCACCCCCATGCTGGTGCACCCTGGCAGAACTCAATGTTGACAGCAACTCTTGAGGAAGGTCAGCCTTACAGTCCCTCTGAGTCTTCCTCCTGCCTCTCAGTGCGCTCCCTCTTCATCTCCCATCATGATCTCACCCACACCGACAGCCCCGTGTCCTCAGCAGGGCAACTGGGCTGCTGATGAAAACCATGGCCTCCAGGGCTGGGCCACCTGGGGTCCAGTCCTGGCCGGCTCTGCAGTTGTGGCATGGTACACAATCTTCTACCAAGGTCTACCACAAGCCTCGGGGCCGGCATTGTGGCTTAGCAGGTGAAGCAGCCACATTCAACGCATTGCCGGTATCCCATGCAGGCGCTGGTTCATATCCTGTATGCTCCACTTTCCATCCAGCTCCCTGCTAATGCACCTGGGAAAAGCAGCAGAAGATGGCCCAAGTGCTTGGGCCCCTGCCACCCATGTGGGAGACCCAGATAAAGCTCCTGGCTTTCAGCTTCAGTCTGGCTGAGCCCTGGCCATCGCATCCATCTGGGGGAGTGAACCATGATGGGAGATCTCTGTGTGTGTCTTTCCCCCTTTCTCTGTAACTTTTACTTTCAAGTATATATATACATTAAAAAAAAAAAAGAACATTATCCTCAGGGACAACCACCATTCTGATTTTTTGAAGTTT